CGAATTTCCCACCTCACCCACTTCCCCCAAGCGGGCCCTGTGTGTGCAAGTGCGTGTGTGCAAGCGCGTGTGTGCAAGCGTGTGTGCAAGCGCAATGGCTCATGTGTGCTGACTCACCCAGGCTTCCCCGCCGACAGGCCTGCCCAGCCTATTGGACACCACCACTTTTGCATTACCGCTACCATCTCAACCTCAGCACTTCCCTTGCCCAACGCTCCGCCCGCCCAAAACCTGCCATTGCCGACTGCATCCCCCCTTTTGTCCACCGCGCACCGCCGCCCACCACCTGCAACCATGTCTGCGCCTTCCATCGCCCCCTACATCGCCAAGCGCCCATGGCTCCAGAAATGGGTCGCCCCCCTCGCCAAGTGGTACGCAAATGCTGCCGGATACAGGCAGCTCGGTCTGAAGTACGCTGCCCTCGATCCCTCCCCAACCCCTCGACGTCGCATCAATTGCTTTACTGTGGGAATTCTGGGAGGATACAGAGGGGAGGGACGGCCATGGCTGTTATGAATGGATGGGCTGACAGGATGTACCTTGCAGAGCCGATGACTTGCTCCCCGAGGAGAACAGCGTTGTGCAGATTGCCCTGAACCGTCTCGGACCCCAGGAAGCCTATGACCGTGTCTTCCGCCTGCGCCGCGCCATCCAGGTACTACAGACAGCCCAGCGAGGACACTGCCTAGACATGACTAACACCACACAGCTCTCCATGTCCCATCAGCTTCTGCCCAAGGAGGAGTGGACCAAGCCAGATGAGGTGAGAACAGCGCCCTTGATTGCCCAACCCGACCAGCTAATGGCCCAACAGGACTCTCCATACCTCTCGAGCCACATCAAAGTCATCGAGGCCGAGATGGCTGAGCGCGAGGATCTCGAGTCGATGATCGTATCCAAGAGGGCCAAGAACGCAGTCCCGAAGGGTCACTAGACGATGTACATAGTGGGAATCATGGGACGGTTTTTGGAGCCCAAGGAGCGAGTCTGACCAATGTGCAATAGATTGTATACCACCAACATCTCTCATATAAGAGCCATGTCCATTGAAGAAAATCCTTGGCATCCTTGTCTTTAGTTCGCATCCTCTCAACTATCCTCGCGATGCAATTCCTATTCTCTCACTTCTAGGTTTCGTTTGGATGTTGGTCAGAAGCATTGACGACATTTGGTAACGGAGCAGACTGAGCATTTCCAAGCTGAGAGTGCGAGAGTGCAATAATGTCCACAGCAACTGCTCTTCATCTCTGAAACTCCACACAATACCTCTGAACTGCAACCAGGTCAAACCACTTTGGCATTGAACTTGAGCACTAGATCAAGAAATATGGTCTTCACTCGCAAGGATTACCGTCACTTTGACATGTGAAGATGAAGCATTGTGACGACTAATGTCGCAGACTGTCAAGATCCAGAACCTGGACGCTATATCCGGACCGCGCATTCACGTGCACAGGCGTCCGGCCCAATTCAGGTTCCCCGCGTCTCGCGTCCAGCCTCCATGGCTCATGCACGATCAAATAACCAGACGTTTATGCTTCGAATCACTAGACTCATCGTCAATAACTGGACCCGTGTCGTATGTCGTGCTCATCCTAGACACTGCCCATTGTACTGACCGTGACGTCAGACCTTACGACCTCCTTTCACACACCACGACATGTCTCTCAGGCGCTCAGCGAGAGTGGCAAGTACCACCAAGCCATCTCCTTCGGATCCAGAATCTAAAAACGTAGCTGCAAAGTATAAACAAGCCGACAAACCCGTTGCGCCCCCCAAGAAGCGCAAGGGAAAGTTACTCCGTTCTTCACCACCCCAAGTTCCGCAAACTCAAACCAGTGAACCATTAAACGAAACAAGAGGTGCGTAAATATACTATTCCAGACCCTCCAACAACACCTTTACCCAAAAAACGCAAAACAAAAGCTACAAATGGATCCCCCACCAAACCACCACCACCCTTCACACTCACCCCATCAGGCGCGACCCTCCTCCGTCCAGACCCCGCCCTCACCACGCTTCCCACTTCAACCCGCCCCGCAGAACCACACGTCACCAACGCCACACTCTCCACCCCCAATGGCTCCCATGTCGTCGCATACCGCAGTTCCCCCATCAAGTCCGACGACACCTCCCCCACCAAACGCCGCAAGGCCAGGGAAGTCGTTCCCCCTGATGTCGGCGCGCTCCCGGCCGCAAGCACAAATGTGCAGCAGCTGCTGAAAGACGCAGAGGCGCATCTGATCAGGACGGACGAGCGGCTGCGGGTGCTGGTGGAAAAGCATCGGTGCGAGATGTTTAGCCCCGAGGGGTTGAAAGAGGTGATTGATCCGTTTACGGAGTTGAGTAAGGGGATTATAGGACAGCAGGTATGTATATTCGGGGAAGTTCGAATCATTAGTTTTCACATCAGTGGTCAAAGTGTATCTGTGGCAGATATACATTTACATTGACTCGCACGTTATAAACACCACCATCATCTTGTAAAGCATACCTACAACAACAAAACCTAGCACACACCACCACCCCCAGACTAACACCACCCCACCCTCCCAGGTCTCCGGCCAAGCCGCAACCTCGATCCGCCAAAAATTCACCTCCCTCTTCCCAACCACACACCCCTCCTTCCCCTCCCCCTCCCAAGTCCTCGCCCTCGACCTCCCCACCCTCCGCACCGCAGGCCTCTCCCAGCGCAAAGCCGAATACATCCACGGCCTGGCTGGGAAATTCGCCTCGGGGGAGCTAAGCGCCGCGATGCTCGTGGGCGCCAGCGATGAGGAGCTCGTGGAGCGGCTGGTGGCGGTGAGGGGGCTGGGTCGGTGGAGTGTGGAAATGTTTGCGTGTTTTGGGTTGAAGCGGATGGACGTGTTTAGTACGGGGGATTTGGGCGTGCAGTAAGTTTTCTGGGGTTTTTTTTTGAATGTTTCTGCGACTTTCAGGGTGTGGGATTTATTTCTGCTTCCATGATGAGGTTTTTGTGTACATGGGATTGCACACTATGATACTGAGACGAGGCAAGGCGCTCATTCTGGCGCTGGGAAGGGAGAGCGGACAGACTGGATCAGGGGCTAACGGATAAACAAACAGGCGAGGCATGGCAGTCTACATGGGCCGCGACGTAAACAAACTAAAGTCCAAGGGTGGGAAATGGAAGTATGTCTCCCCGTACCACCTCACCCCTCGACCCATTCCAATACAATCACCACCACCACCACCACCACCACCATCATCATCATCACCACCACCACAACCACCCATTCCCACCATTCACTCACCGCCGGAACTCTCCCACCCGCTCCACGGGCACACGACCGCTCCGAAAGGAGTTCAAACCTAGCTCGATCGTGCATGCAGCGCTGGCCTGCCCCCTTGTACCATACAGATACATGTCTGAGCAGGAGATGCTGGACATAGCCTCCAAATTTTCACCTTACAGGTGCGTGCATCTGGGCCGTCCCTTTGTTACTGTGTTACCAAAGCTAAGCATGTTTTAGGAGCCTCTTCATGTGGTATATGTGGCGCATTGCAGATGTTGACGTTAGTGTGATGCAAAAGTCGTGAGGTGGATGGCGTACGAGAAGTATTAGGATTAAGATCGCTTTGGAGACGCATATAGAGGATCGAGGTGGCTGTAGGATGCCCATGGATTGTGGACTCTAGCGGTGTGTTTGAGTGATTGTGTGGACGAGGGTGTGTGGGTGTGACTAGTTGAAGAGTAGTAGGGTTACAGTAGTACGTTGTGACCCTTGTTGCGCTTTCTAACAATACCGCACCGTACCGCACCCGAGCGAGTGCAGCGAGTTGGTCGTAGACAGGACGAATTTGGTCATGACCAGGCCGTAGATAGTACAGGCACAAGTCGAGCTTTCCGTACACGCTTTAGGCGCTTCCCCGTATATGCAGTGCGAGCAACGAAAAGCCCCACTAACGATAGCTCCTGACGGCGAGAGTCCGCAGGAGTGGGCCAAGACATGTCAATGCAAATATCGCCACTCTACCTCCGGGGTCAGTACGGATTATCCTTGCGATGTACATGCGGTTATGACGGATGGCAAGCGCCACCATACGTACTCTTTGCATATTGCATAGGGTACTGATGCGCGCTTGAGGTCGGATCCAGCTTTGTGATGATAGACGTTGAGATGGATGCATATGTCATACAGTAACGGCGCCTAGTTCCAGAACATGCTCATCGATTGGGGTCGCATGTGCGTGCACATTCCTCGCCTTTGCTCGTGTGATCAGGCGCCCCACGAGTCAATTGACTTGAGGAGGAGCTATCTTCCAATGCTGCGAACGTGTGTCAACACCGAGATGCAGTGCACCGCTGATTTCGCCAGGCAAGGCCGAGCACTACACTCCTCACTTTGACTCCGTTTTGTGTACAGACTACTGATCGTGGATAAACCAGTAAGGTGCCGTGTCACCTCTGTTCACAACCAGGGAGAAAGGTCCGCAGCCATTTGGGTGGAACGATGTCGTAATTCTTGCAGGTCAATTAAAGTTGACAGTTGGTGACACGGTAAAAATCCGGCTGCCTCCAAGGCGATCTAAACCTGCTTTCAATGTGAGCAGAGATAGCAGACGGAGCACACGTAGGGACCCGTCAGGTCTGAGGAGACTTCGATAGCCGTCGAGGGGAGCGGCCTGTCGGAGATCGCAACCATGTATCTCCACAGCAAGGATCGAGCGCTGAGATGACTGGCTGAGAGATAATCGCCGCATCAGAGTGGAGACGATCCAGGATAAAAAAAACACCGTACGTGGAGTATGGATACCATTGTGTTACGACATATTGCAAAGTGTCCCAGCACTTGCAGCCGTGAAGTCGCGGGTCCGGGAAGAGGAGCGCCCTCAACGCCAGATGGATTACGTGCACTAAAAAGGTAATGGATTACATGGACGGGAGGATGTTGAACCTACGACTGATGTGGTACAACACGATATGACGTGCATTTGGAAACGGAATGCAGCGCCTGACAAAATCGACCTCGCAGAAGATGTGCCGAGCTTCGATGATCATGGTCGCACAAGTAAAATCCCCTGCTATTCTTCCTATGGTTCAGTTGGAATAACTTAGCAGCGACAGCTTCGATGAAGTGCTATGGTCTCGGGCAAATCGAGAATGGCGTGGGCATCACTTTTGCACCCGCTTCAAATGGTCAAGAAGCAGGCAATGTAACGTCGACGGAGGACAGTCCCGTGAGGAATGCAAATATGGAGCCAGACCAGATACAGTCAAGAGGCGCTAGTGCGGCTTTTCATCGACACCGTAC